TGGTCAAGATGAATGATAAAACAGGAAGTATATGGTATCCAAATTTACGGTAGTCTCTACAAAGTCTGCTGAAATCTATTGAGAAAAGAGAACCAGAGAAGTGTTGTATCTTCACACATCCAGGCCAATGGCCAGGAAAGTTTATTTAATGTTTGCCATGTTCACAAGTAATTGACAATGTTTTATGAGGTAGCCAAACCCCGGCCAGGTTTGCAGAAGGTGCCTTGCCGAGAACTACAGATGGTAATGGCTTTGAACAATGAGGCTTGTAAAGATAGGTAGAAGTTTCCTATCAAGGTCTTATCTGATGGCGATGTATTCCTCAACTTGTATCATTTGCTGCCTTATCGGCCCAAAGACCTGGCAGTCCATTTAGATTCTATCAGCAGATAATTCCTCCACAACACCAATTTAAATGAGGAGGGCATTGCTTGGAGTGCCAGCTTGGTGCTTTTTCTTTGATTGCTTGTAACCTGAAAAGGGGGACACATTTTTTTGTGGTGAAAATGAGGACTATTGGCTGCGATACATTACAGATATTCAAGTTTGTGGTCGTTTGCCAGATGGGATATTTAATCTGAGGGGAGTTTGTTGGCCTCCATGTTGGTGAGCTTGCTTGTGGCTGGCATGGTTCATGGAATGTAAATAATGAGTGATTAATTGAGGGGGCTTCCTTTCAGTGATAGGTGGCCGCAATCTGTAGATCCCTGTTCCATCCTGGAGCGATTTGTTCCCTTCATGTTGCCGCGGCGGTGGTGTTGGGCGGGGACTGTGTGTTAACACGGACCCATGTGTTTACACATGTTGTTCCTCACTGCCTATCACAGTCATGTATGTAGCTACTTCATTTGGGGGTAAATCTTTCAAGTCTACTTTCCTCAGCGTCAAAATCTTTCAGAACGGGCTGATTCGCCATCAGTTTGAATTGTTACTATTCTGTAAGTTTTCAAGTAAATATAGACACATTTACCCATGGGTACACATGTTAACACCAAATGATCTATCCAAATTAACGTTAAACAACCTATCTATGATAACACCAAATGATCTAGCCATGATAGCACCAAATGATCTAGCCAAATTAACGTTAACCAACCTATCTATGATAACACCAAATGATCTATCCAAATTAACGTAAACAACCTATCTATGATAACACCAAATGATCTATCCAAATTAACGTTAAACAACCTATCTATGATAACACCAAATGATCTAGCCATGATGGCACCAAATCATCTAGCCATGATAGCACCAAATGATCTAGCCATGATAACACCAAATGATCTAGCCATGATAGCACCAAATGATCTAGCCAAATTAACGTTAAACAACCTATCTATGATAACACCAAATGATCTAGCCATGATAGCACCAAATGATCTAGCCAAATTAACGTTAAACAACCTATCTATGATAACACCAAATGATCTAGCCATGATAGCACCAAATGATCTAGCCAAATTAACGTTAACCAACCTATCTATGATAACACCAAATGATCTATCCAAATTAACGTAAACAACCTATCTATGATAACACCAAATGATCTATCCAAATTAACGTTAAACAACCTATCTATGATAACACCAAATGATCTAGCCATGATGGCACCAAATCATCTAGCCATGATAGCACCAAATGATCTAGCCATGATAACACCAAATGATCTAGCCATGATAGCACCAAATGATCTAGCCATGACAGCGCCAAATCATCTATCCATGATAGCGCCAAATGATCTCCCCATGAAAGCACCAAATGATCTCCCCATGACAGCACCAGATGATCTATCCATGATAGCCCAATATGATCTCCCCATGATAGCACCAAATGATCTATCCATGATAGCGCAAAATGATCTCCCCATGATAGCACCAAATGATCTCCCCATGATAGCACCAAATGATCTTTCCATGATAGCGCCAAATGATCTCCCCATAATTGCACCAAATGATCTAGCCATGATAGCGCCAAATGATCTCCCCATGATAGCACCAAATGATCTATCCATGATAGTGCCAAATGATCTCCCCATGATTGCACCAAATGATCTTCCCATGATAGCGCCAAAGTATATACACATGATAGCGCCAAATGATCTACCCATGATAGCACCAAAGTATATACACATGATAGCGCCAAATGATCTTCCCATGATAGCACCAAAGTATATACACATGATAGCGCCAAATGATCTACCCATGATAGCACCATATGATCTACCCATGATAGCGCCAAATGATCTACCCATGATAGCACCATATGATCTACCCATGATAACACCATATGATCTACCTATAATAGCACTGTATGATATACCCATGATAACACCATATGATCTACCCATGATAACACCATATGATCTATCCATGATAACACCATCAACCCATAATTACTCCATATGATCTAGCCATGATAGCACCATATGATCTACCCATAACACCATCAACCCATGATAACACCATATGATACACCCAAGTTAACACTGACCCATTTTAAGACTGAATGATGTAGCCACGTTTTTACACTGAATGATCTACCAAAGCTACAATGTTACGATCTGAAGTCCTAAAAAATTACGCATTTGTAACTTGATTTACCTTTACCCAACTGAAAACTTTCTTCCCAAGTTATTTTATTTGCCTATTCAAGCATTTGCATCTGGTGCTCAGTCACCCATGTCTGCCTAGAGTGTGTAATTAGTGATTGAAACTTCTTTGATGCAGACGACACGCAGAGTGCGACAACATTGATGAGACCAAGTGATTGTTGTGCCGGTATTGATCTCAACAGAGATACATTTGTATATCTCAGTCATAAAATAGTTTTTGTTTATCCTTTCCAAAACACATTCAGTCATTCTTTACATGGAGTTAGTCATAATTACATTTCTCTAAGTACCCGTAGACGCCCATGTCTGTAATTTCTCGCTTTATTAATCCCATGTGTAATAAGGGCATTAGTATGACATGACATAAATAATTTGCCGTTCTGCAGCTTCAGTGTATTATAAAGATTATTGAGTGAAAGCTTTTGTAACGAGGGTGTCTTAGTGACGCTCGGGATGACCTGCACGGGGTCATGGTAGATAAAACAGTAAAGCTCCACACACTGTTGATCTGCAGAAGCAATGAAACTGAGTTTTCATTCACACAATGAAATTTATTTCATTGGGTCATGAATAAATGATGGCGAGACCATCTCTTGGTTGATTTCGACTTGGGATTAGGAGAAGTTGTATCCGTCAAGAGAATTGATGTGAAATCGTATTTTCAGGTTCACAAGTCTAATGATTCGGTAATTATTTTTTTATGCAATTTCATTCAATTTGTTTAATTGAATAGTTGAGTGAGCGTCGTTGTGAGTTCACAGGATGACATTTCTTGTCAGCCAGATCTGCACAATCAAGTTCCAAGTTGTCAGAATGGTTATCATTTTTGAATTATTCAGCAGATCATTTTACAATGATATTGTGCAAGCTAATTTCTTGTAAAATTACAGCAACTTCTAAGGAACTTGGGCTGTGAAGCTGTGATATGATTTGATTGTTATATATCATTTTGATTGTTATATATCATTTCAGTTGTTCGGTAATAAGCAAGTATGATGGTGCATTAAGTACATTAAGTGATACATTTTCAATTATTAATGGTATGCCGGGCATTCATTTATGCTGATCAAATTTGTGTGGGCTCTGTATGCCTTGGCCTTCAGACAACTCGTGATGTCTGTCTTTTGTGTCTGTTGTGTCTTTTGTGTCTGTTGTGTCTGTAGACTTGTAGCCCTCAGATGAGTAGTGGTGAGGTGAGGTGAAATGGGGTTTAACGTCGCGTCCAAGATTATTGCACTTATATAGCGACGTGCATGTAGGTGTGTGTGTTTGTGTGGCTGCTTGTACTAGTCCGGACTGATGCCGATTTATAGTGCTAGCTCACTGAGATACCATGCCGCAGTTTAAAATGAATACCCCACTCAGACACAGTATACTGACTCCGAGCTGACCAGTCCTTGTTTTAGCCCCTTAATGCCGAGCGCCAGACAGGGTAACAACAAGTACCATCTATTAATGTCTTTTGGTATGACGCGGTCGGGGATCGAACCCCGTACCTTCCGCTCTCCGGGCGGACGCTCTACCACTAGACCACGGAGGCGGTCGATAAGTAGTGGTGTCTTGTGTCTGTAGACTTGTAGCCTCAGACAAGTACTGTTGTTTTGTGTCTGTAGACTTGTAGCCTCAGACAAGTACTGTTGTTTTGTGTCTGTAGACTTGTAGCTTCAGACAAGTACTGTTGTTTTGTGTCTGTAGACTTGTAGCCTCAGACAAGTACTGTTGTTTTGTGTCTGTAGACTTGTAGCCTCAGACAAGTACTGTTGTTTTGTGTCTGTAGACTTGTAGCCTCAGACAAGTACTGTTGTTTTGTGTCTGTAGACTTGTAGCCTCAGACAAGTACTGTTGTTTTGTGTCTGTAGACTTGTAGCCTCAGACAAGTACTGTTGTTTTGTGTCTGTAGACTTGTAGCCTCAGACAAGTACTGTTGTCTTGTGTCTGTAGACTTGTAGCCCTCAGATAAGTAGGGGTGTCTGTTGTGTCTGTAGACTTGTAGCCTCAGACAAGTAATGGCGTCTGGTGTCTGACAACTACCGAACGAGTGAGTGAATGTTACTTTATGCCACATCAGTGTTTTAAGTGTCAGCCGGTCAATGATGATGCCTGCCAATGATTTGTGGAGGCTGTTCACATATATGTGCAGCCATTATCAATAACAAATAATGTCTTGTCTGTCCATGGATGTAGACAGTGTGCCTATTGTCCATGAACTGTAATCTGTTCCTGATGTCATTTCTCCTGTTATGTCTTCCAGCATCTGTATATCTGTTTATTTGTTTCTGCTGTAGCTTCTTCCCAGACAACCAAGTTGCAACGGGGAGGAGCCAGGAAAGTAGTCCTGACCATCCATTGTCCAACTGATTAATGTGTCCTTATTCGTGTCCTCCAGGTACAAATCTACAGCTCACAGACCAATCAGATCACTCGGACACTGAATCGGTTCCGTGAAGTGGCACATTGTGGATCATTTAGAGATGATGGTCGCCTCCTTGTTGCTGGTAGTGATGAAGCCCAAGTTAAACTGTTCGACACGAGCAGTGGATCTATGCTCAGAGTTTTCAAGGGACACGATGGGTGAGTTGGGTGGATATAAGAGTTGAGGTCAGGGGACACGATGGGTGAGTTGGGTGGATATAAGAGTTGAGGTCAGGGAACAGGATGGGTGAGTTGGTTGGATATAGCAGTTGAGGTTAGGGAACAGGATTGGTGAGTTGGGTGGATGTAAGAGTTGAGGTCAGGGGACAGGATGGGAGAGTTGGGTGGATATAAGAGTTTAGGTCAGGGAACAGGATGGGTGAGTTTGTTGGATATAAGAGTTGAGGTCAGGGGACAGGATGGGTGAGTTTGTTGGATATAAGAGATGAGGTCAGGGAACAGGATTGGTGAGTTGGGTGGATATAACAGTTGAGGTCAGGGAACAGGATGGGTGAGTTGGATGATATAAGAATTTAGATATGGGTAGATATAAGAGTTGAGGTCAGGGAACAGGATGGGTGAGTTGGTTGGATATAGCAGTTGAGGTTAGGGAACAGGATTGGTGAGTTGGGTGGATGTAAGAGTTGAGGTCAGGGGACAGGATGGGAGAGTTGGGTGGATATAAGAGTTTAGGTCAGGGAACAGGATGGGTGAGTTTGTTGGATATAAGAGTTGAGGTCAGGGGACAGGATGGGTGAGTTTGTTGGATATAAGAGATGAGGTCAGGGAACAGGATTGGTGAGTTGGGTGGATATAACAGTTGAGGTCAGGGAACAGGATGGGTGAGTTGGATGATATAAGAATTTAGATATGGGTAGATATAAAAGTTGAGGTTAGGGAACAGGATGGGTGAGTTGGGTGGATATAGCAGTTGAGGTCAGGGAACAGCATGGGTGAGTTGGGTGGATATAGCAGTTGAGGTCAGGGAACAGCATGGGTGAGTTGGTTGGATATAACAGTTGAGGCCAGGGAACAGCATGGGTGAGTTGGTTGGATATAACAGTTGAGGCCAGGGAACAGGATGGGTGAGTTGGTTGGATATAAGAGTTGAGGTCAGGGGACAGGACTGGTGAGTTGGGTGGATATAAGAGTTGAGGTCAGGGAACAGGATGGGTGAGTTTGTTGGATATAAGAGTTGAGGTCAGGGAACAGGATGGGTGAGTTTGTTGGATATAAGAGATGAGGTCAGGGAACAGGATTGGTGAGTTGGGTGGATATAACAGTTGAGGTCAGGGAACAGGATGGGTGAGTTGGATGGATGTAAGAGTTGAGGTCAGGGGACAACATGGGTGAGTTGGTTGGATATAACAGTTTAGGTTAGGTAACAGGATGGGTGAGTTGGGTGGATATAAGAGTTGAGGTCAGGGAACAGGATGGGTGAGTTGGTTGGATATAGCAGTTGAGGTTAGGGAACAGGATTGGTGAGTTGGATGGATGTAAGAGTTGAGGTCAGGGGACAGGATTGGTGAGTTGGGTGGATATAAGAGTTGAGGTCAGGGAACAGGATGGGTGAGTTGGTTGGATATAGCAGTTGAGTTTAGGGAACAGGATTGGTGAGTTGGGTGGATATAAGAGTTGAGGTTAGGGAACAGGTTGGGTGGATATAAGAGTTGAGGTCAGGGAACAGGATGGGCGAGTTGGTTGGATATAGCAGTTGAGGTTAGGGAACAGGATTGGTGAGTTGAATGGATGTAAGAGTTGAGGTCAGGGGACAGGATGGGTGAGTTGGTTGGATATAGCAGTTGAGGTTAGGGAACAGGATTGGTGAGTTGAATGGATGTAAGAGTTGAGGTCAGGGGACAGGATGGGTGAGTTGGTTGGATATAAGAGATGAGGTTTGGGAACAGGTTGGGTGGATATAACAGTTTAGGTTAGGGAACAGGATGGGTGAGTTGGGTGGATATAAGAGTTTAGGTTAGGGAACAGGATGGGTGAGTTGGTTGGATATAAGAGTTGAGGTCAGGGGACAGGACTGGTGAGTTGATTGGATATAAGAGTTGAGGTCAGGGAATAGGATGGGTGAGTTGGTTGGATATAACAGTTGAGGTCAGGGAACAGGATGGGTGAGTTTGTTGGATATAAGAGTTGAGGTCAGGGGACAGGATGGGTGAGTTGGGTGGATATAAGAGTTGAGGTCAGGGAACAGGATGGGTGAGTTGGTTGGATATAAGAGATGAGGTCAGGGAACAGGATGGGTGAGTTGGGTGAATAGAACAGTTGAAGTCAGGCACATAAAGGTTGAGTTCAGGGGACATGTCACATGTAATGAATGAATCATGAAAAATGAGGTCATGTGACATGGAGTTTTTTAGTTATCTAAGAGTAGTGAGATTTCAATAGATGCATGATGTGTATCAATCATTATAATACCTACTTCCATGGTTACTTTTGATTGTGCTCTTTAACTAAGTGTTGACTTTTGCTGTATGTGTTGTGCCCCCAGTACCATGTGTTGTTTTGCTGTACTGTATGTGTCGTCACATTGTGATTTCAGCCCGGTGAATGTCACCAGGTTCCTGCAAGATCGGGTGAGAGTCATGTCCGGCTCCAATGACCGCTCAGTCCGAGTCTGGGACGTCCCAAGCGAGAAGCCACTGATGATTTATGATGAGCATGAGGTTTGTAGACACTAAGCTGCATGTTAGTGGGATGTGTGTGGAGTGGCAGGACAACAGGTCTGGTCAATCCAAGAGCAGGATTTGCTTCATTTGTTTCAGGCTAAAATTCAGTGATGTGACATAATCTGTGACCTACAACTGTGTGATAAGGTCTGTGTGTGACCTACAGCTGTGTGACAATCTTTGTGACCTACAGCTGTGTGACACAATCCATGTGTGACCTACAACTGTGATACGGTCTGTGTGTGACCTACAGCTGTTTGACTCAATCTTTGTGACCTGCAGCTGTGTGACAATATGTTTGACCTACAGCTGTGTGACACAATCCATGTGTGACCTACAGCTGTGTTACACAGTCAGTGAGTGACCTACAGCTGTGTGACACGGTCTGTGTGTGACCTGCTGCTGTGTGACAGTCTGTGTGACACAATCTGTGTGTGACCTACAGCTGTGTGACTCAATCTGTGTGTGACCTGCAGCTGTATAACACAATCTGTGTGTGACCTACTGCTGTGTAACACAATCTGTGTGTGACCTACAGCTGTGTGACACAATCTGTGTGTGACCTACAGCTGTCTGACACAATCTGTGTGTGACCCACAGCTGTCTGACATAGTCTGTGTGTGACCTACAGCTGTCTGACACAATCTGTGTGTGACCCACAGCTGTGTGACATAGTCTGTGTGTGACCTACTGCTGTGTAACACAATCTGTGTGTGACCCACACCTGTGTGTGGTCCACGGCTGTGTGACATAGTCTGTGTGTGACCTACTGCTGTGTGACATAATCTGTGTGTGACCTACTGCTGTGTGACATAATCTGTGTGTGACCTACTGCTGTGTGACATGATCTGTGTGTGACCTACAGCTGTGTGACACAATCTGTGTGTGACCTACTGCTGTGTGACACGATCTGTGTGTGACCTACAGCTGTGTGACACAATCTGTGTGTGACCTACTGCTGTGTGACACAATCTGTGTGTGACCTACAGCTGTGTGACACCCTTTTTTTACTTTGTAACACATTGATACACTATTTATAAAGTATGTCATTTGTGAGAACTCCCTCAAATGACAGAATGTATTAGAATATATAGAGGGTATCAACACCTGGCTTGACAAAAGTAATTGTAAGTATTTGTAATATACTCACCGCCAAAAGAAACGAGAACCATAGAAACAGCTAGAGAAGTATGTACGTTAAGAGAAGTTTCCAATGTGTACCACTTAATGACAAAACTAACAAAAGGTCAAGTGTTCTTTATTCTTATCACGATATGCTGCACGTGACTTCCAAACTTTACACGCTAATACTGCACGAGATGAATGGTGGATCTCAAGTCATGGATCTATGACGTCACATGTGATGTGTTCATGAGCGTCGATTCACACAACATACCAGTATGTTCGTTTGTACATCGAACCAATCTAATATCTCTTGAATATGAGTAATGCTTCATATATTAACCAACATGTATGGTATTCGTGTTTCTTTTGTCAGTGAGTATAGAAATGAAACATTGAAAATTCACACTGTCAGAGCACACTTCCTAGCTTAGGTTGATCAGCGAGATCACTGTATATTATTAGTGGAGCAGGGAGATTATCACTATCAATGTTTTGAAATTCATCATCTGGACTTCCCTGGTGTTGACAAAGGGGGGCAGACTTGAGGTGTTGTGGATCAATCCCCTCTGAAATGGGTGATGTGAGCAGGAAATGGAAATATAAGAATTGAAGAAAGGAATGGTGGAATATTTTTCATGCGTGGGCCATAAGCAGTGTCAATTGCTTCTGCCGACTATGATGGGGGAAGAAATTGGAGATTTAGTTTGACAATTTGTTCCTTGAGTTCCCAGATTCTCTTTCACAATGTGACATGATAAATTCTAACACAGCAAGATTTTGGCATGTTTTTTGTGATGGGTTCCGCTTTCCCCTCATTCTGTTACAGTTAGCTGATGCTCACTATTCTAAACATTTCACACTATCATAGGGGGCTAGAGATGGAGAAATGTTGTTTCACCCTTTAACAACATTTACAACACAGACCTGTCATGGAGGTGTATAGGCAAAGACAAATGATATGGCTGGAAGAGGCTGAAATGTACAAGCCAAGTGGCAGGGAGGGCGAAATGTACGAGATCACATTTCAATATTCACCTGTCCTCTTGCAGGAGGATTAACCATTACCTCCATTGACCATTGTTCCAGGTGAAATCTGTCTGGAAATGTTGACTTAATGACATGCAAACATCAAACTTGACATGACAAGTGGCTTTTTGTACAGGTCACTTGAATTCAGTTTTGGCACATTGATTGTCAGATATGATGAAGATAGTTTTCACCAGCCTTTAACTTTTTGGGTTAACTTTAACTTCTTTTTTATTCAGGCAAATTTAGACAAGTGATCGGATTAGGGGACTTAATGGTAATTTGGTAATTACAGGAAAAATGTCATGTGTTACTCTTACACAGCTGTTATGACTAAACTTAGTAAGTACAGATATAAGGGTTTTAGAGCACTTAATGGGGATCCAGAAGGGGGTGCAGGGGATGTCCACCCATCTTTTTTTCGATTTTTTTTTTTTTCTCTTTTTGAAAATCAATGTACTTTTTAGCATAACTACATACATACATATTTCTGGTGTCCCCCACCATGATATTGCTGGAATGAATTGCTAAAAGCGGCGTGAGACCCAACTCACTCACTCCCTTTTTGAATGGTGTTTGAAATTATAGAGGGCCCTGGGTAAGTTTGCTCCAAGAGTATTTGAGAATCACCTAAATCTTTAGCTTTTAGCATTAGGGCTGTGACCAGGATTTGCTTAATTTTGAACACTTGATAGTCTTGGGTTGACTGGGGTATGTTGTTTGTATTCCAAATGTGGGTTTTTCATACACCTCTTTTTATTTACATATTTCTTTCTTTAATGATAAGACTTGCAAAGTCTTTAACCTCTATCTAAAATTGCTGCAGATAACTGCAAAATTGCTGATGTACATTGGGTAATAACCTCTTTCACTCCATTTGAATACCATGGCTTCTACAATAAAAATAATCTAAAGTAGCATAATTGCCTAATTGACATATTTCCCCAAACAAGTTTTTCAAGATTTAGTCTTTTGCTTTGATTATTTTATTTCATTTTATAAAAATGAAATTTTTAACAACAATTAACTCTTTCATTTCATGGAATATAATCACTATCATTAGCATGATTATGCCCGATTGACTGTCTTGTTTGTTTCTCATAAACTGGTGTCTCAAGATTTATTTGTTTTGCTTTATATCTTGTTTGGTAATTAAATGATCACACTTGAAACAACACTAAAACCCTTCCATCTGAAAATATCTCACATGAAATATAATCACTAATATCATTAATGTGGGATTGACTAGGGTTGTAGATTTCCCCACCCAGCAACTATGGTCCCCCTGATGCAAGCCCCCTGGGGGTAGGGGAATGTCGGTGTTAACCAGGTTTGATCTGGAGACCCCGAGGTCAGATCCAGGGCCCTGGAGATGATTAACAACATCTACTGCACAATTCTCAGAATTTCTGGCGTACTTGTAGAATTTGTCCAAATTCTCTAATGAAACCCGATATAACTTTCGATTCGTTTCCCATCTCATGTGGTTCTGTCTGGTGCCACACCATTGTGATGCCAGTACTCCCTGGGAAATATTCCACCTCTCGACAAATATAACTTTGGTAATTTATGAAGGTAACATATCTATCCCATGATATTGTGATAGCGTGTTAACAAATTCCCAACAAAGCCTGGCAAGGCAAACTCTGCATATCTCGTCAGATGGTTCTTTATTGATATAGATACTCTCAAGATAAACTCCTCACATTCAAATCCCCCTGTGCTTCATACAACTGAAATTCTCCAATTTAGAAAGCATTTTTCTGGCCCTTTTTACCCTTCAATTGCAACTTTAATTGGCAAAATTGATCAATGAAAAAATGTATGGGTTTTTCTATCCCGAAACATATTGAAAGAAGTGTGGTAGACTCTCTGATGGCAGAGCAGAACACTGGGCTAAAATTGTAGGTCCTTGGCAAATTAATTTGAAAAGGAAATATTTTTTGCACATTTTGTCTGCCTATTGCTCATGTGTGAAATTAATCTGGAAAATAGTTTCCCTTGTTACGTACGGATTCCTGCTCTGACTCAAAACATTAATCCCAGAATGAAAATAGTTGCATATCTTTGAAGAAGCGATATGCTTGTGCATTGCAGGAGAAATCAACGTTGAATGTAAATATCGGTTTTTGATAGCTGTTGTGTACAAGTTTGTGGACTTGATCGATTGTATCTGGAGTAGTTTACATACCTACTGTGGGGTTGCGATGTCTTGAAACATGTGTCGAGCAGATTAATAGTCTTTTTATTATCAAATTTGCCATAAGAAATAGGGCACTTTTGATGATGATTGCAAAATAATTGATGTTGATTTCCCCGGAAGTTGTACATTTCATGGACGTAGGTTTTCATTTCAACTAGTTTTTCCTCCCACATGTTTGATGATATTTTCATATTTGGTAAGTGCCAGCCACGACTCCTGACTTACATCAAATTTAAGTTGTAGTCCTCATCTGCTTCATTGATTTACAATTACAATGTTTATTTATTTTTAATATGTTTGTGTCAGCACTTCTTTCTCAAGTGATGGATTTGTCTAAAAAAGTAATTCTGGCTTTTAAACTTGTTTAAATTTCCTTTAAATTCAGATAAATAAACGATTCTTGTTTTCGCATGTTTTCGGACTCACGTTTTTTAGCTGCTCAAGTTGGATTTATGAAAATATGTATTTGTATTTCTTTTACAAATTAATTAATAAGCATGTAAATGCAATTAATAATCTTGGAACATATTTGTAAGTTGTAACCAGAACCCCCTGGTGATGAAGGGATTCATCTACAAAGTGGTAATTTTAATTGGTAGATGGATTCCCCCTTCCCTGATGTGGTATTGAGAGCATTCAGTTAATTTGCTTCTCTTTCAAGCAATGGCCATTCCTGATTTCTCCCAAATTTATCTCTGTCCCACATGTCCACTAAAGCCAGCCCCCCTGCTCCCTGAAAAATAAGCTTAGTGACATTTTAATGTGCAGGGATGAAGAGATGCAACAAGCTTCATGTGGGCTGCACATGACAGGTCATGACCCCAAGGTCGGTGCTTGACCCTAAACACTCGACCTCCTCATTGACCTCTGAACCAGACTGCATTGACCAACCAGAGATTGTTGTATGTTGATTGACAGATTGACGAGAAATTGACTTGCCCCTTGCAGTCAGGGTGTTTGTGAATGACAGGTGACATGGGGAAAGGTTATTAGCCAGTGTTGTAAATGATACTGATTGTCAGGTGATATTAACAAGCTATAACACTCAGCTGATGAGAGAGATGGCCACTTAGAAACATCCCTGGCTACATGTGTCATTTGATGCTCTGTTGCAGAGGCTGTCAATGATTATCTGTGTAATTGAAAACTGGGTGAGAGTGGATTATGATCTTGTGTTGTGTGCATGGGATGCACTGATATCTGTATTCAGGAAGTGGACAAATAATGAAGTTAATATCTTTTATCATGCTATTGAGTGAATGGGATCAACATTTTCTCTATTTAACCGACTGTCTCTATTTAAATTAATTCCATTTTAGGCCTGACCCAATCAATAAAATAATAAATTTTGATGTTAATTTTTTTCAATAATTGAAAAAGTATGTATTACTAAAATTTAAGTAAAATATACATCAATATTTCTTGCAACATTTAGGCAAGGTTTGTCCGTTCAATATGAAAATATATTGGTGTAAAGAAGTGAGTTTTATATGGGACATGTGGTATGAGATACTTCATAAAAACATTTTTTGTTATCTAAAATATATCATTGTGAGACTGTACTGTATGGTGTGAAATCAGTAAGATATGTTATATTATAGATATGGTTGTGGTTTATAAGATATTAAAAGGCAATCAGTTTTCATACAAAGAAATTCAAATCACTTTATGATTTTTTGTAAAAGAAAAGAAATCATGGATAATTACTCAATAAGGAAATGTTCCAGCTGTAGCAATTTTATCACGGAGGCAGCCTGTAGTGATTCAACCTTTTGGGGGTTTCGTCGGCAGAATTGTCCCAGAACTGCATGTATGTCACAAGAGCTGACTGTCAAATGAGGATTTTGTTGAACAGTGTTAGCCTGGCCTGGTGTGTCATCTTTCCTCAACGGCATTGATAAATGCTCATGACATCAACCACTGGTTTGCTTGGCCCACATTTGATTATTTAAATGCTGTGGTAATGTACCTGGAACTTTGCAAGCCACAATGTAAAGCTACTCTCATTCAGTCAAGTGAAACAACAACTGATATCACAAACAAGTCTTAAATGCAAAATTGATCAAAAATTTAGTGTTGCAAATAACTTTTCATTTTAAAATTTTAAAAAATAATATTTTTCAAAAATATGCACAGGATTATTAAAATATAAATTAACTTAGGCTAATAGAACACGGGACTAGCGTTGTGACAAACACACTTTTTTCCTAATAGTACTAATAGATTTTTAAATATTTATTTGTGTTTGTATTCAATTTAACTAAGACTAAAATGATTCTTGTCTTCTCACTTTGTGTTAGAGGAACATGATTAATGCCCAGCTAACCAATGTTAACAGTGCAATATTTCTCTGAAAACATTCTAAACACTTTGATGGTTTGGTAATGAGAACTTTGACTGGGACAACTAATTCCAGATGTCTGTGAATTGACAGGAATCAATGGAAGATACCAGATGAGGAAATGGTTCTGGAATTCCTCGATGGTTTTAATTTGTGGAATGGTTAAAGGGAACGTTATGATTATACATGTAATAACAATTATTTTGTTATAAAATATGCATAGTCATTCATAAATGTGAGACATAAAAATTCAAACCATTTGTTTCAATCTTTATTAAACATTATTAATCACGTGGTTTGTTTCAATCATGTGGGACATTTGTTAATTATATTTTTTATATTTTGTTCACATCAATTGAAATGTAAATTTTAACAAAATGTATCCTATGTGGTCAAAGAATCTATTTTTAAGAAAGGGACTCAATCCTGCACATATTGCAATTCTAGGGGATATAGACTTGGAAAATTAATTTTCAGAAAATAAATTGTGGAATTAAACCTGTGAACCCGTTTTGTGCCCACATAGTTTTGTCTTTCATCGCTGGTCAGAGGGTTCAGGTGTATCATCTTTGGAACGACTGTTTGTTTATTTTCACACCTGGTTAATCTATTGTCCAGCATTATAGCGTCCTCGACCTGATTGAAGGGTTGAGTGTTACCTGTGTTGTGATCTCCGTTGACGGTGATGTATTGAGGTCGGGACGGTGCAGATCAGCAACAGTATCCAGCCCTGGGTTATCATTGTTTCCACAGAGAACCAACTTACTTTTTCATGTGTTTTGTAAACTCACAAAGGATGGGCAAAAAAGCAGGAAGTTTGAAATAGAAAACAATCGTGTGATTTGACTGTATTGTTTGATGGTAATCTACAAGGTGATGCAGACAGACTGCAGGAAAGACCTGGCCTATCTGCGTCAGAAAGACGAACATTGTCAGCAACACCAGCCTTGATATCCCGGGTGAAAATCTAACTGACAGACATATGCAACTTCATTAGCATGGAAGTCTATATTAGTAATATCAGGTTGCGATGGGGATACAGTTTTGACCAGTGGATGCTGATGGAGATGTATTGTTTGTTGGATGGGGTGAGAGTTGATGAACAAGCTTGGGTAAAAAGAAAGCATTTTTTGAGATTCTCAATTGTTTTTCATATAAGATATCTTTCAAGATGGGTATCACGGCAAACATTTTGAAAAATATACTTTTGACAAAGTTGGCAGTTAGAACCATTCTGAAACTTCCCAGCATTTCATGCATGGGATTCTTGGGTGGAATTGGTCCCAGGAGGCCCATACTAGTTGTCAGGAGAGTGTAGGATCTATATATAAAAGATAATTTGTTCCAGAAAATACTGAAAAAAATATAAAGAAAAAAAAATATGTAGAAAAAAATTGTTTGCTGGTTATGCTGGATGTGTCCTGAAAAAAATATATGTTGAAAATAAAATTGTTTGGCTTCCCCTTTCACAAAAAATTGTATATCTTCCAGCAGTGTCTAAAGCAGTGTCTAAAGCAAAGCGTTCTCTGTCTCCAACAATAATCACCACTCCTAGTTTATAGTGTTCTGAATATTGTATATCTTCCAGCAGTGTCTAAAGCAAAACGTTCTCTGTCTCCAACAATAATCCCCACTCCTAGTTAATAGTGTTCTGTTTGCCTTTGTTTTATAGACGTTTATAAGTACAACAGACTATGTACACAATCCCATCATAGTACTACATGCTGTGTGTTAGTGTTTCAGTTACTGTAGTAATAGTTAGAATGCCTCCAGTCCTGGCCCATGGTGACTGTCACTGCCTGTTGTAAGTTGGTGTCGTTGTGGCCCAAATGTCAGAATGGTTGTTCTCAGTAATTCAGGATCTGTTAGTATTATGTTTTTCAGATGTATGAACCACATCAGGACAGGGATATTATCAACATGTTTCTCATTATCACTTAAGACATGGTTTGTGAATTAGGTTTTCAGGGCAGATGAGAATTTTTGTTTTTGTACATCTGGATTTGCTATGAGTTCTGTAATGTGAACATTGTCAGGATTTTAATGGAGGGGTAGAAAGAATAAATGTTGTCTGTTCCACTGCTAAAGAGGAAACTGAAAAGCTTGCGTTACTGATCCCGTTTCACAGAGCTATCAGTTTGACTATTGTAAGCCTATGTACAATCATCTTAATGCTAATATCCCTTGGATGAACAGGGTTCAAGGCCCAAACACAAAGCTATCTTAGTACTGAGGTAATCATTTGTGAAACGGAGCCCTGATCATTTGAAAGTAATTTATTGATGAGAATAAAAAAATTGGTGGACTAAAATGTTTTTCTGCCTTGTTCAAGCATCGCTTATCCTTTGTTTTCATGAAATTCATGAAATATAAAAAAACTATGCAATGTTTAAATCATGAAACAAATATCTCTTATATTTTGCCAACCATAAAATATCTGTCGTTCACGTTGTTCCTGGCCCTGCCTTGTCACCTGTCATGTTAATTGATGTCACACACTGACAGCCTGGTGTTGTTCCCCAGGACTACGTGAGGTGCGGCGTATCCAGCATGGCCAGCACAGACATCATCCTCACAGGTGAGTCAATGTGGGAATCAGGGCTAGGTAGCAGAAGAGTTCTCTCCCTTTATTGCCAAACTTGGTCTTGTTGAATCATCAGTAAACTGCATTTCACCCTGTGAATTAATTCACAGGCTCTGATTGATGAAAATATTGTTGTATTATTATTGCTTTGGCTGGGAGGACTGGGGGTATCTTAAGTGATTGTTTAAATGAAGAAATAGACAATCATGATTCAGAAATACTTGTATCTACATGCTAATTTCGTTCTCATGGTGTGAATGTCCAAGACTATTTCTGTTATGTATGTAAAAGTATTCAGACTTATGGGACCTCTTTAACAGAAATAGTACCAGTAGGTAATATGAAATTGTGTGGAAAACAGTTCAAAATATACAGGAAAAATCAGGGAAATACATTATGACAAATAAAACAAGTTAGAGTCAAATTCCTTCTGAAAAGAAATATATTATATGTGTAGTCAGTATCTGCCATAGCTGCTTTTTGTGTTAAGTGTTCTGTCAGATCTTCATACGTGGTGAACAAAAATAATGATTTTCTCTTCCCTTGTGAGTAGATCGAGCTACTAACAGTGTGTGTTTTCTACAGGTTCTTATGATCACACTGTTCGGATGTTTGACACTCGGGTGAAGGGAAGCGCCATGACAGTCGACCATGGGTACCCGGTAGAGAGCCTTGTCATGTTCCCCCATGGCAGCATCTTCATGTCAGCAGGTGGGTGGTACACGTGGTTGTCGGGGAGCACAGTTCCACCTGAAATGAGGATTGGGTGGTTGTGATGTGTGACCTGGTTAATTGGGTTGTTGTATCCAATAAAACTCACTCAGTCACTCACTCACTCAGTCACTCACTCACTCACTCACTCACTCACTCACTCACTCACTCACTCACTCACTCACTCACACACACACACACACACACACACACACACACACACACACACACACACACACACACACACACACACACACACACACACACACACATGAAGATCCGGGGCTGAATAGGCCTTCAGCAACCCATGCTTGCCGTAAAAGACAACTATGATGATGTCATTGAAAAATGCACTTAGTTTATCATTAAAAACATAATTAAAATTTTTCTTTTTTTTTAATAAATAGAATGCTCCTGGTTTGGAGACAACTGGGATGGTGATATTTGGCATTATTATAGTATGTCCAAAACATTATGGCACTTCCAAACAAATATGAGCAATTCTTTTCGTCAAACACATATGAACGTTATACTATAATTATGAAATATCTCCAAGCCAACACCACTGAGAGTCAGTCAGCGGATGGTTCCACCTAGATGAATCATCTCCTCTTTGTAATCACTGAACTCACTCAGCAATCAAAACTGGAATTCAGAATTGAACAAGTATGTGAATCTAGACAATCACTATCTCCATCGCCACGTTAGAATGGAGTCTTTGGCTCCTGGAGGAAGTGGCGTTATTGATGCCAGGACAAGCCGACATATTGTCTTCAGCAACATATTTACCGTATTCGACGTAATAAGCGTCCCGCTCTAATAAGCGCCCACGGCGATATTTGATAATATATATTATAATATATATAAGTGAACAATCCCAATTAGCACCCCTTCCGATTGATCAATGTACACAAGACTTATATATTCGTGTATAATATGCACGCGTGTGTTATATGCACCCTTAATTATGGGCAATAAAATTCGGGAAAAATATATCTGTCGTATATAAACAGTTCGGACCGTCAGCATAAACCACGAAATTTATCTTTCAACTCTTTTTTTTCATCCAAAATAATATTCTAATAAGAGCCCCCTGTTTCTAATTTTGAGAGCGCCCTGGGCGCTTATTACGTCGAATACGGTACCCCTCAAACTTTAATTAGCAGTGCCACTGTATGGAAAAGATTTTTTTTAATTGTACCATGAAAATGCAACATCTTAAGCAAGTTGTGATGTTAATTAAGTTTTTCAAATTACAAATTTAGATCAGCGTGGTGGGTCGAATTTTGTGTAATTGTAAGGCTGAGTTGGTTGTACCTCTGTTGTTCATGCACAACGTTAATATTATTCTGTCAAAGCATTCCATGGAATAGAAAAAAACAGTTGTAGAAATTAATCTGAAACATTTACAATTGATAATGGTGACAACACAGGACACCCCTTCTGCACATAAACACCCCCCCTCCCCCCCCCCCCTCCAATTTGCCTCCCTTAGTTATAGCAGGATCCCAGATAAGCACACACTTTGAGCTTTTCCCATTAAAAGCTTATCTGTGAAGATCTGGGTTAAAATTGATCTTCAGCAACCCATGCTTGTCGTAAGAGGCAACTAATGGGATCGGGTAGTCAAGCTCGCTGACTTGGTTGATGCATGTCAGTGTATCCCAACTCACTCATAATGGTTCCCCAACAACTATTTCATTTTATATGAAACACCGCATTGGTGATCAAAATTCCACTATACTTTTTATCTACCTCTAGGAATTTTAAAAAGTGTTTGTATTCTGTCTTTAAGTTTGTTAAAACAAACAATTGAGAATGTTGACATTTGAAACCTCGATGGTATGGGTAATGATCTGCAGTGGGACTGATGTGTTGTAATATGGATAACAGGACATGCATTGATGTATGCCACAATTTGCTCAGGCACAGTTGGCGATATTACAACCTCACACACTGATTTGTCTAACAGAAATATCCTTCATTGAAAATAGATTTTTATGAAAAACTCATAATACTCCTCTCAGATTAAACTTGGGAGCTTAATAGGTAGTAATTACATTTTTTCCTACCATTTGACTTTGTAAGTTTATTTCATGAGGAAACTTTGGCAAAGTCATCTGTTATAGATGAAAACTTTTACTAACTTGTTTTTAACATGCACGTGTGCCAGAGCGTTGGTTTTGATTGTGTCACCAATGAGTTTAGCACATTGGGCAGGGTCGGAGAGAGCGCACTTCTTCCAAGTTGAATGATTGTTGCAGAAAAAGTTGGCGAAGATTATCAATATATGACTATGACAAATGATGTGAAAATGAGGCAGCCATATTGCTCTGTATGTAAATATTAATGTGCTAACGTGTCTTATGCAGCAAAACAGACAGATTAACCATGAGAAGAAGCGATGAAAGTGTTTTTTGATGATTTCCCTTGCACATAACATCAAAAAAGACATTTTAATTGGCCAGCTCCAGCCAGTAATGTAAACAAATAAACGAACTTTGATTACTGATCAGCCCGCTTATGAAGTTGTCGATTTGAAAAGTTGTTTTTGAATTTGATTTTTTCTTTATTGTGTCAGAAAGCTACAAAGCCACAGGGAATTGCCAGTATGATTTAACATCACTGTGAGAGTGTGTTGATGATTTATTAACAGCTCTTGATGCATAATGATAGTAGCAGGTAGCAGGATCCAGTCTGAAATAAATGTGTGATACACATCTGTACGCAGGAGGAGTGTTCATGGGTGTACACACACATGTATTGGGCTGGAGGCACCTTGACGGAAATATGCTGGAGGGAATGGTAGAATTGAAACATTTGCATGAAATTAATAAATATTTACAAAAGGAAAATATTTATAACTCACTGAAGAGCCAAGTGTAGCCTGCCCTGACATTAATGTGATATACACATGGTAAGATTGTGATGGATTGTCTGTGTTTGCGTGTGTTTGTGTGTGTTTGCGTGTGTTTGAAGTGTGTGTGCTAGTGGCCTCCTCCAGTATTATAGAGTAAAGTACCTCATTCATGCTTTCACGTTTCGGGGTGGGGGTGGGGGATGTGGGGGGTCCCTTTGTGTAAGGTGCCATAATTTGCTGTGCAGAGTTGTGTCCCTTTGCACGCTCCAAACTTATGATTATAGGTTTAATTCTCGGTTTTGCCCTAATTATGTTTCTAGGTTTTTCAGGACTTTATCCAAGCCCATGGGTTTCACCAAAGTGGTAAATGACTTGCATCACTTCGGGCTTCCCTCCCACAGTTAGCTGGCAAGCTGTAATATAACTGAAATACTGTTCAAAACAGCGTTGAAACCAACTCACTTCACAATTCAGTGACATTGGCCTTGTATCTAATTTACTGTGGAGAGTTGTCCCCCTTATGCATGCCACGATCCTATGATCGTAGGTAGGAAGCCCAGATTCACCCTGATCATTTTCCGCACCAAACCCATGCTTGTGGATTTCAGCCAAGTCGATAATGTCTTATATTTCAGTTACTTCCTTTCCCCCACTTTAAGCTGACAAACTGTGATATACCTGACAATACTTTCAGAATCCCCCTGTACCTCATGCTTGTTGTTAGTTTCCATTGACATGGGGATTGGGTGGTCCGGACTTGGCTATTTGCATGACATCATTCCCAACAGCGTGGATTCATTGTTTTCAGTCACTGTTTTGTGGATATTGCTGACTCTATCGTTAAGTGATGATTAATGTATGTGAAGGAAGTGTTGATTCCCAACAGAGCTTCATCCCACTAAGCAGTCTTTAGAGATTGTGACTCTTGCTATCTTGTGCTTGTAAGACAGGATGTGCTACCCAGTGCTTGTATGACACGACCCCCTACCCTGTGCTTGTAAGATAGGACCTGGTGCCCCGTGCTTGTAAGACAGGACCTGCTACCCCTTGCTTGTAAGACAGGACCTGCTACCCCTTGCTTGTAAGACAGGACCTGGTGCTCCGTGCTTTTAAGACAGGACCTGCTACCCCTTGCTTGTAAGACAGGACCTGCTACCCCTTGCTTGTAAGACAGGACCTGCTACCCCTTGCTTGTAAGACAGGACCCACTACCCCGTGCTTGTAAGACAGGACCCACTACCCTGTGCTTGTAAGACAGGACCCACTACCCAGTGCTTGTAAGACAGGACCCACTACCCTATGCATGTAAGACAGGACCCACTACCCTGTGCTTGTAAGACAGGACCTGCTACCCTGTGCTTATAAGACAGGACCCACTACCCTGTGCTTGTAAGACAGGACCCACTACCCCGTGCTTGTAAGACAGGACCTACTACCCTGTGCTTGTAAGACAGGACCCACTACCTCGTGCTTGTAAGACAGGACCCACTACCCTGTGCTTATAAGACAGGACCCACTACCCTGTGCTTGTAAGACAGGACCCACTACCCTGTGCTTGTAAGACAGGACCCACTACCCCGTGCTTGTAAGACAGGACCTACTACCCTGTGCTTGTAAGACAGGACCCACTACCTCGTGCTTGTAAGACAGGACCCACTACCTCGTGCTTGTAAGACAGGACCCGCTACCCTGTGAGACAAGCCAGAGGAGAGAACTCTATTTGGATGAACTGTTGCTCTTCACTTCATGATGATCATCAAATTAATATAGCAGTCAAAGGGTTAAGGAAATACAGTACAACTACCGTATTCACCCTGTGCCTTGGTGCTTACAATATTGACATGGAGGGGCTTTCCTTCACCCCATACACAAACATTTGTTGTCAGAGATCCAGTGGTAGAAAACACACTTTTTTGATCAAATATTGTACAGTTATATGCCCCCTACACTGCTGTGTTTTCTGTACAGAGATATCTACACACAATCATGTAGATTGTTGGGCGTGTACATAATGATTACTTACAGGTTGGTCTTGAACCTGGTCACTGGGTTCTTATGGGAGTAGGGTGCTTTATACAGTGAATACAGTATTGTTTTACCAAAGTACCAGGTTATAAAGACATTACTTGCTCGTTATTAG